GTCGGCCAACTTTATCCTACCCCGACACTGATCCGCCACCTGAAACTGTACCACAACTAGAATTTGAGAATTCTTCAAGATCTGGTCCTCTTGAGCCAACTCGGTGATCTACCAGAGTATCTCGTACTCCCAATTGGTATGGCTTTTCCTCTAATTTATCCAACATATCTATTCCATCTCGTTACTCACAAGCTTCCAAGCATGAATGTTGGCAGAAAGCAATGGAGGAAGAACTTTTGGCTCTTAAAGAAAATGACACATGGGACATTGTTTCATGTCCTTCAAATGTCCGCCCTATTAGATGTAAATGGGTTTATTCAATCAAACTTCATTCTGATGGATCTCTTGATCGGCACAAAAGTTGATTGGTTGTTCTTGGTAACAGACAAGAGTATGGAGTGATAATCGCGAAGGGACTTTTGCACCCGTAGCCAAAATGACTACGGTACGAACTATTATTGCCATTGCTGCTTCACAAAACTGGTCTCTTTATCAAATGGATGTCAAAAATGCTTTTCTCCATGGTGATCTTAAAGAAGATATTTATATGAAACCTCCACCTGGTTTGTTCTCATCGCTTATGTATGCAAGTTGAAGCGGTCTTTGTATGGATTAAAACAAGCTCCAAGAGCTTGGTTTGATAAGTTTCGGTCTACTTTGCTACAATTTTCTTTTGAGTAGAGCAAATATGACTCATCTTTGTTTCTTCGGAAAACATCTACAGGTTGTGTTCTTCTTTTGGTGTATGTAGATGACATTATTATCACAGGAACTGATTCTTCACTAATCACTTGCCTCCAACAGCAGCTTAAAGATTCTTTTCATATGAAATATATTGGTACTCTTACTTATTTTTTGGGTTTGGAATTTCATAATGTTGCTTCAGGTGTGTTTCTAAACCAACACAAATATACTCAGGATCTGATTTCTTTGGCTGGTCTTAAGATTCATCCTCCGAAGATACTCTATTGGAATTGAATGTGAAGTATCGTCGTGAGGAAGGCGATCTTCTTCCTGATCCAACTATATTTCGACAATTAGTTTGGAGTCTAAATTACCTTACTATTACTCGGCCTGATATCTCTTTTGCAGTTCAACAAGTTAGTCAATTTATGCAAGCTCCCCGACATCTCCACTTGGTGGCTGGTCGTCACATCATTCGGTATCTTCTAAGAACATCTACTCGTAGATTGTTCTTTCCAAGTGGTTCTCCTATTCGTCTTAATGCTTTTAGTGATTTTGATTGGGCGGGAAGTCTTGATACTCGTCGTTCAGTCTCTGGTTGGTGTATGTTTCTTGGAGAGTCATTGATATCTTGGAAGAGTAAAAACAAGATCGTGTGTCAAAATCTTCAACAGAGGCTGAATATCGATCTATGCCTACTGCTTGCTCTGAGATTGTATGGCTTCGTGGATTACTTGCTGATATTGGATTTCCTCAATCTCATCCCACTCCTCTCCACGCTGACAATACAAGTGCTATTCAGATTGCTACTAATCCAGTTTTTCATGAGAGGACCAAACACATCGAAGTGGATTGTCATTATATAAGAGAAGCTGTAGATAAAAGAGTCATTACTCTTCCAAATGTGTCCAACGATCTTCAAATAGCTGATGCGTTTACAAAATCCATGGCACGACAACGCCATCAGTTTCTAGTTGGCAAATTGATGCTTCTTGATCCACCAACATCAATTTGAGGGGGGATATTAGCATGATGGACAACTAAATGATTGTATATATTAATGTAATTATATAGTGATATAAATTAGCATGATCATATACATTTGTTGTACAATCAAAGGAATAAATATTGTGATAGAATAGCTGATTTGGAGGGATAGCAAGGCAGATTTAGAGGGATTGAATAGCAGATTTGTAGAGATAGAATAGCTGATCTTTAGGGATAGGAATGGCGGATCTTTAGGGATGTGTAATCTTTATTTTCTCTATATAATGGAAAGACTCTCACTTTGAGAGGTATTAAGCAGAAAATTGACAGGTCCTTTGTTGGGTAACAGTCACATTCCATCAGAGTGGCATCATCGATCATATCCTTGTTACCGACACTAGTTTGTGTCGATGGAATTTATTGGTCGTGTTATTGGCCTCTGATGTGTCCTGCTGATTTGTTACACGTTGCAAGCCACCTATGACGATTGTTACGACCCGCTAGTCTTGGGGAATTCAGCAAATAGAGTCAATTAGTGTGTTCAGAAGAAGTCTTTTTTCAAACAAGACAGAATTTGGCAGTTAAACTTAACGTCACAGTATTGGACATTTACCCTCCCT